GCATGGCTCGGCCGGAGGCGCAGGGCTCCCGGGGACCCGAAGGTGCGTGCGTGGGGGATGTCCCCTCCCTTCAAGAAATTGAGCAGCTCCTGAGCACTGGGAGGCCCTCTTGCAACCACGTTGATGAAGTATGGCCTAATCTCTTCTTAGGAGACCTGTAAGTACAGCTTTATGGACACACTTCTGCCATACATGCTGTCTGTTAATATGTCTCTATACATACTATGAGGTGTGGCTTTAGACAGCTCGTAGTTTTGCTAATGGCTGTCGTTTACACAGCAGACAGCACGGTCTCCAAGATAAAACTCTGGGTAAGCTGGTACCTGGATCTTGGTTAGACATTAGAAGCAATGCATGGGCTGATGCTCCAGCAAATGCAGCAGGGGGTGCAATGCAGCACTTCTACTGCTCCATTAATATCTCGCCCCCCAACAAAACCCATTTGTTTGTCTTTGTTTCTTCCTTAGAGTAACAGCGAACAACAGATTTGTTTTGTGGAAGATGGGTGTGACCCATGTTTTAAATGCTGCCCACGGCACAGTGTACAGCCACGGAGGCCAGGACTTCTATGGGGCAACCATTGATTATTATGGTGTACCTGCCTATGATCTCCCAAGCTTTGATATAAGCCAGTTCTTTTTCTCTGCGGCACAATTTATCCACAATGCCTTGAACACGCCAGGAGGTATGAAATTGTCTTTGGTCACATTTTTATGTGAATTGGCAGCCTCTCGTAACAGCTCAGCTCCATGAGCTCAGCGGTGGACAGGTCACTACAGGGTCTCAGCTGCTGTCCACCTGCATGGTCAGTGTCAGGAGGAGTGAGTGCTGCGTACGAGGATGTAGCTCTGACTAGGTTCCAAAAAGGTGATGTGAGAAAAGAGATAAACGGTGCATGAGAGAGACCAGGGCAGAGTGAAGAGAAAGCAGAGTAGAGAGAAAAAATATCTGGAAAGAAAGGCTGATTCAAAAAGGGAGATGCAAAAAACATACATTTGAAATGGATGCCCTCTTTTAAGACTTTTTAATGGCAACTGAATTCATAGGAACAAATGAATAAAGAGATGAAAGTCCTGATTTCTACAGCCACCAGCTGCACAAAAAGGCTTATATATTGCAGATGAGCTTCTGGTGTGAACAGGGCCTGCAGGGCTGTGCCCCTAAGGTTAAGATTTCCCTTTACTCAAAGAGATTTATAGCATGTTGCACAAGAGACTATGCTTTTTGGTACTGGTGCAATAAAATACTAATTAACCTGTATTACATAGAAGAGCATTTCTTAGTGTTACTGGAGCTGTCTCAGTGTGTGTCACAAATTCTGCCTTCAGAAGAGAATTGCAGTTGCAGCAAGTAGCTTTATTATGCAATGGTAGTTGGCCAGTCATTTTTCTCAGTGGCTAATGTGTTAGTGCCGTCATTTTAGGCCAGATGTTAGCATTCTTCACCTAAGTTAGCCCCTCTGAAATCAGTGGGTCTGATTTTCCTCTTGCTTACAACAGAACAACTTCATTGCTTCAAGAGGGCTTTCTTTGATTTGCCAGTGTTCCTAAGATCAGGTTTGGATCTCACAGCACTTCTCATACGAGCGAGTGTAACAATTGCAAATGAGACTCAATTGTTTGAACCTCGTGTGGTCTATCAGAAGGGTAAGAAATACATCATGTTTGTGTTGTTACTCTGACCAGGCTGGTGAATGCAGAAGGAGTTTGCCTTTCCTTGATATTAAACTTAATCCACTGTACTGCTTTTTTTATATGTTTTGTTTGTTTGTTTGTTTTAACCAGCTAAAATTTTGGTACATTGTGCAGTTGGAATAAGCAGGTCAGCGTCCCTAGTCCTAGCATATCTCATGATAAACCACCACCTCTCACTGGTTGAAGCCATCCAAACAGTGAAGGAACATCGATGGATTTCACCCAATCGTGGCTTCCTCAAACACCTGCGAAATCTGGATGTCCAGCTCCGGCAGAAGACGGGCTGCTAGAGGGTAAACCATCTACATTCATTTTCTGAGTTTCAGCCTTCCTAGGCATTGTCCATATACAGCTTCCTATGATCAATGCGTGTGGAAAAAAAGAAAATTATGCATCAAAGGAAAAAGTCAGCAGAACTGTAAATGGATTACTTCTGATGGTTCAGTTCCTCCAAGACCAGCACAGCCAACATCAGCAGTGTAAGCACTGTGTGCTGCAGAGCTGCTGTGCCTAGCGTGGTGCTACCAGGTCACCCACTGGAGTGGTTCATATGGACCAAGTTTTTTCCTGGTTTATGTTAATGCCAGAGGCAAGTTCTATACTTACATCTATCTGTACAGCATGTCTGAGTCCCCTTTACTTGGGAGTGTAACATAACCAGCCTCCTCAGTTTGGTCACGGTCCTCGTGTGCATGTTCTCATAAGAAAAGCCTTTTGTGTTTCAGACCTAGTGATGTGGAGAGGGCAATTTCTTTGGAGCCCAGGCATTGCTACAGAAATATTCCTTTTTCACTGTCCTGCTAAATATTGCAGTGCTACAGAAAGCTGTGACAGCCTGAAGACACACCCCAGCAGAATAAACTTATGTGCAGCTCTCTCTGCAGTCCCTAGGTCAGCAAACCCACCAACCTTTTCTGGTATAAATATGTTTTCAGCAAGATAATGTATATTATGCAGTATGTTCAGGGCATTAAAAAAAGATGTCAGAGATTCAAATAATTTTGTAAGCTTGACTCATCAGTTCACTCTCCCTCCAAATTAGCCCATGTCAGCTCTGTGTAAGTGGATTTGAATCATCTCTGGTTTACCATCAGGTAGGAGCTTACCTTACATTGCTGAGTAGGCTTAATTGATACAAATTAGTTTTAAGCTGTTTTGAGGATGTCACTTTTCGTATCGCCAGGTAATCACTACTTAAACCAATGTGATTTTTAATAGAGCAACAGCATTTGAAATTCATGCTATCACTCTACCTGAAAATTAGCTTTCTACCTTGTGGTGAACCATGAAGTGATAATCAAATCTATTTTTGTCCCTTGCTACTGGCTTGATTTATTGAATAACTGACCTCATAAACTTGCCCTGACAGATTAAGTAAATACATTTCTGCCTATTTGTTTTCATTTGAGGCATCAGTTCTGATTATTTTCCTCTCTGCTGGAAGAGAATTGCAAGGTTATTAGAAGATTTAAATAGTGGTGACTTGTGAGTTGAACCACTTCCTTCCCAGACTCCTTATCCTCCTAAATACTTGGAGGAATTATGACATGCATGTTGGTTCTGCCTAGCACTTATGGAGATGTAGGAATCCCTTCATATTTCAGCATACACAAATGCTTTGTAAAGTAAGCTTAATTAAGATCCTTTCAGAGGTCTGTTTGACTGTTCAGTTTTTCCTAAATCTTGCCAAGATCTCCAATAATGGGAGAAAGAGAAGACATTATAGTGTAAAAAGATCAAATAGGAAATCACGTTTAAAACCCAGCAGTGCTAGGACAATCTTTATAACTCACAAAGCAGCAGAGTGGTGGAGGAGGAGCTGGGTTTGCTTTGAAGTTCTCCATTAGAGTTAATAGGGATTTATATGAGTTAATATTTCATTATAATTTATGCTTCATTCATGTTACAGTAGATTTTAGTCTGGAAAGCTTTTGAAGACACATGGCATTGAAAAATCTGAAATTTATGTGAGTGAAATAATGCATCTTAATAGCTTTAGGCTGGGCAAAATTAGACACGTGTGAGAAAGATTAATGGAACCTCCCATCAGGATAATGCTTTGCATGCCCCTGAACATCTGTCCCACAAAGCCACAGCTGTGAAAGCTGCTTCTGTTGTAAATTAGGACCTGCTCTCAGAGATACCCCTCATCCTGGGAGAGTATTTTTTCACCAGGTTAGAGAAGAGTACAGAGTGAAGCTGAGTCAGTATGACATCCATGCCACCAATTACATGATAGTGATCATGTACAGCAAGACTTCCTCACTTCATTGGAGGGAATGAATCAGTTAGAAAGTCTTTTCAAGGGCACTGGCAAATCACAGAAGTGCTTTTAATCTGTGGAGTGTGTTGCCTATAATTCCTTCCTGCCTGTATTGCTTCCTTCCTTATATACATTTTAACTTTGGCTCCAGGTCTGCTCAGGGAAAAGGATTCCAGTCAACATAAGCAGAAGAGGTAGAATTAGTCCTGTAACTTCATAAAACAGAAAATACTGTCTGCTATGGTGTTCTAGGAGGAAAAGAGACGTTCTTACCTGACACACTACCCATAATTCAGGTCATGATGTGATAGGACATTAATGCTTTGCTGTTGTCCATTATCAGCATGAAAACCTCTATTTCAAGTATTGGTTTAGCAAGTTAGACTAAGGAACAAAAGGGAAAAAGAACACCTCAGCAGCAGCACTTTGTTCCAAAAATGCACATTTGTCAAGAGCGTCTTCCCAGCCCAGGAGACTAAAAGCCCTGAATGCTAACTCCTGACTGAGGGAGGGTCCCATTCTCAAAGACACTGAAGTACCTAAAGGTATGCTGGGTGCCTGCTGAGCTGACCAGAGCACCTTGGCTCATGCTTGGGTGCCTTCCCAGGAGCCCACGAGAACTGACATCCTGATGTGCACCTACTACCTTCTATCTCCTCTGAAACAAACAGGTGTACAGGCCTTCCTGCCCCAGGCTTGCCTTATTGTGAGTCTCATTTCAATCTGTTCTTAATTCCTTTATCCCTTTTGAACTTTTTTTTTTTAGTGTATAGATGAAGATAAAGGATTCTATGATTCTAATGCGTCTGACAAAGCCCACAGCAGAGTGCACACGATTCATGAACAAGCTTCTCCTGTGTCAAAGGACTATGCCATAAAGAAGAGTTAAACCTCCTCTGAAGAGAATCTTAAAATCAATTTTTTGTTCTTTTGAGCCACCTTACCAACTGGGTCATGAGGGCTGGTGCCAGCTCAGCGAAGGCTGAGTGTGTGTCTGAGCAGAGAGCACAGTGAAGGGGACTGTTGCAATTACAGCTATGGCAAACCTAAATCTGCTTAAAGCAATCACAAAACCACAGTGTCAAACGGAGGGAGCCATGTAAAATTCCAGTGGAAACTTCCCTTAATTTTATTTTGCAGTACAAGAACTAAGGGCATCAGATGAAGTCAGTAGAAGGCAGGTCTGAAACAAGAGTTAGGTAAGCTGTGTAATGCCTTGCCACAGAATGCTGCAGAGGGTAAAAGCTTGTAAATGTTCAAGGGGTAACTGGAAAACTTTATGGTTCTCAAATCCACTCAAGGTTACAAATATGGTTAGAAACCATCCAGATCTGGAAGCCTAGGAGCTGTAGCCAGCTGGAAGCTGGGGGAGTGTTAGGCAGCAGTATAATTCATTCTTGTGTGTTCTTATTTTCTGTAGACGTCCGCTTACAGGCACGGTCAGGCTCAATAGAGCTTTGGTTAGGCCCAGAGCAGCTGCTTTCATGGTCTTTATTTTGATCTCGCCCCTAAAATGAACTGTCCTCTCTTTCCTGGAGGCCTATTATTAGAACTGGGTAACATGAGGCATTTAGGACTGTGTCTTGGTTGTGTTGACTGACATTTCTTTCGTGGTGAAAGCTCTCTGCTGGCAGGCACAGCAATGTAGCTTACGTGGGGAGGGGAGCAGCGTTTTTTTGCATAAAATTCGCTTAATGCAGACGTTTCATTTTTGTAGCTGTTCCCTGTTCCATCAGGGATGTAGCGCTGAGCTGATCCAGAGAAGTGTCAAGGCACATACTGTATTTAGAGACAGCCACCTGCTTGGGAACATCAAACGGCAGCAAAGAGCACACTTCAGCAAAAAGACTCCTCTGTGGGTTCTGCAGCAGTGGCATTCAGCCAGCTCGCCCCTGCCTAAGTCTGCCTGTGGCCCCCAAAAGGGCCAGTGCCTAAAGACAGTCAGAGCCCAGGGTCAGCCCAGGAATGCTCTGAGTTTGGCACTCCCTCTGCCCAGGAATTGCCAGATATTTTGGACAGCTGCAAGGTGGAATTAAATCACGTGGGTGAAGGGTGGCCTAATCTCTACATAGGCAATATGTGTTATTTCAGGATGAGCTGTTCTGAAGGGCTGGGGAATACAGCACTCGTTAACATATGCTGTCCCACTGCTTTATTTAGTTAACGTTGTTAAACTTCATTGCCTTAAAATAGACTTAAGATCAGCATAGAAGAAGGCAAAAGGACTATCCATTAAAGAAGGCACCTACAGAACAGAATAAAAATAATTAAGGAGAGAATAAGACTTTATTTTTTTGCATTATTTTACAATTATTCAACATAGAGATTTTATAAATGCTGCAACATTTACTGAATAAAGCACAAGACAGACTCATGGTCCTGAGTAGCCTTAAAATCAAACTATGATTAGGTTTTACCTTTTTCAGTTCGATTTTAAGTAGAATGGAATTTTTGAATTAAAAAAATATTCTAATTTTTGCTGGCTGTATCACAACATGATTTGCAGTAGAAATTTCTGACAAAAAAATAAAAGGGTATTCTGAATGACAGCAGACTTCATTGTCTATCTCCCACAGTTGTGTGGATGTTTTTTTCACTCTGGAGCATGGAGAAAGCACACAGTCATTTGCACTCACCGTGCCTAGTGCCCAGTGTTACGTCAAAACAAGTTCTTTCCACCACCAGAAGGTTACAAGCTTGTTGCAATATCTGGAAATTACAATTAAAGTAACTCCTAAATGAGAGAAGCAGGAGGAACTAACAGTCCTTTGGCTAATTGCCCATCGATTACAGCTAAAAGGGGACATTCTTTTAGCTATGAAAAAGCAAAGCCTGAAAATCAGCTAGATGATGCTGGGGAAATAATCTGTGTTTACAAAACATGGTTTTACAAATTTCAGCCTGCTTCTTAACCTCACCACATTTCTAATCAAGAGCATGACACCTTGCAGATGAGTCCTATGCACAGGGGGTGGGTGCCCACTGACAGGCACACAGAAACAGAGCTGTGCTGCTCTGGCCCTGGGT